TATATATATATATCTAAAAATTGTAATTGATTCTTCCAGAATTGTTTTAGTGTTTTCAAGCAATGTAAATATAATCCAAGAAGAAATATGCTCTTATATGCTCATATAAGAAGCAATCTTATTTGTTCATGTATAAATTTTAGCTTGATAAGAGTTTATATGTGGTTATATATATGATTATACAAGACTATATTAGGTCATATTTGGATATAGTGTATTTAAATAAGTTTAAACTTTTTAAATCTTATTTTTAGACTGTATATGTGAGAACATCAATAAGAACTAGAAGTTAAATTCTTATTACGGTCGAAGTTGGATCATTAATGCTTAAATAATTTAATGTGAATTATGTACATACTATATATGTACATGCATGTACACTATATATGTATTCATTCGAACTGTGCACCGAATTGGTTTTTCGGACTCATAAACGCAATTAAACTACTACAATATCACAAATTAAATTAAATTGACAAGCAAATTTTAATAATTTTGATGTTCAATTCGGTATCATATTTGAAAGATATGTTAATATGTTGAAAAATTGTAAATTAATTTATTGCGGAAAATATTACCTCAACCGGAAGTCAAACCCGGATCTCTTGTATTTCGTACGAGCGTCTTGAGCCTTTAAATTACCGAGACCTTGTAATATTCTTTGCAATAATCGATACATGTATGAAAACAATGTCTTTCTTTCAGACCTCAGTAATCTAAAAGCTTAGAACGCTCACACAGAATGTAAAAGATCCAGGTTTAACTCTGCCAATATTTTTCCTTGTAATATTTTTGCAATAAATTTATTTATAGTTTTTCAATACATTAACATTTTTTTAATATTGCCTGATTGAGTATCAAATTATTAATTGCTTGCCTATTTTATTTAATTTCTGCTATCATTACTGTAATTTAATTATGTTTACAAGTCCGAAAAATTCAATTCGGTGCAATTCGAACTACACATATGGTATTATATGCATGATACATATATATGTATATGATACATACACATGTGTATATATTATACAGGGTGGTTCACTTAAATCAATAATCTGAAATATTTCGCTTATTTTTGATGATATAAAAAAATGTTTCAAATAAAAGTGGAAAGATTTCGAGATGGACATATTTTGATCTTTTTTTTTTTAAGTGGAGGCGTCAAAAAGATAAAAGGTTACCTCTACTTTTTTAAATGGAATTGTATGATTTTTTTTACACAATATGATATATTCTTCTAATTATTCTGCATATAAAAGTATTAAGGTAGTAATATAAAAAAACCAATAATTTACGAGATATTTTACATTTTAATCTGACACATATTGACATAAAATGTTAAATAACTCGTAAATTATTGATTTTTTGATGTCACTACCTTAATACTTTTATATGCAAAATAATTAGAGGAATATATAATATTATATTGTGTAAACAAAATCATACAATTCCATTTAAAAAAGTAAAGGTGACTCTATCTAGAAAAAAAAAACAACATGACCAAAATACGTCTCCCTCGAAACCATTCCATTTTCGTTTGAAACATTTTTTTGTATCATCAAAAATATTTTAAATATTCAAGATGTTCGATTTAAGTGGACCACCTTGTATACTCAATTCACATTGAATTATTTAAGCATTAAAGATTCAGTTTGGACCGTATAGGTATTTATAATATCTAATTCTTAGTTAATTATGTTTAGAAGTATAATATCATGATCCGATTATACAAGTATGTACACTTAATTTCATATGATTATATAAGTTTATATGTAATTAGTAATATATATATTTAAAGTTTAAATTAAAATGTATATTTACAAAAAAATGTAATTTATAGAAAATTGGCCTTATGTGGCCAACTTAAGAGGACCAGGTAATAAAAAAATTGATTTTTTTAAATTTAATTTTTCGAAAGTTTCATCTTTCTTAAATAAAATGCCTCTTACAATTAGTAGATGTCGCAATTTGCGAAATTATCGACTTGGCAGTTGAAAAGATCGAGCGACTAACAAATTCTATTTTATCTATTTACAGATAGTTAAAAAAAATTGAAAAAAGGAACGGATACAAAAAGGACTGCCGCTCACTTAATCGTATAGTATGTATGATAATAGCAACAGACTATGTCTTAGAAATATCTTATTACTCTTCCAGAGATGCGTATTAGTAATTGTTTGAAATCTTTCAAAACTTACGCATTTTTCGCGAAATTTCTTTTTCTCTTAGTTCTATCCTGGTAACGAATAGACAGAAGTATATACAAATCGATTTAAAAAAAATTCTAAGTATAGAACACGTATCATTTCCCGTCAAATTTCCAATATTATATAATCTACAAAAATTCGAGTTTTTCTTAAAAAAATTTAAATATTGCCTTTTAACCGTCATCATAATAATTTTATTCCAATTTTTTTTTTATTTAGAAATTACTAATCTGATGAACAATATTCCGCACAAAAAATGTTGGTATTTCACTTTTTAAACTTTGTATCGCAACAAGGATAAAAGGTTTTTTCAAATTCCTATATGGTCATACTATAACTAATTAACGACAACAGAGAAAAATATCAAGGCGCTCCTCGTCTCGATCCCAGGCCTGTTCTCTCCTCCGAGTTGATAGACTTTCGCTCTGCCACTGAGCCACACAGCCCTGACGTTGTTGATATCTCTATTGTGTGTATATACCTAGTGAATTTCTTACAATGCTATTATCACGATATTCTTAAAATATACAGTGGATGCAAAAAAGTATTTATATAGAGAAAATATATTTTTTTTTAAATCTTTATTATAAAAAATATATATAAAATATATTTTTTTAAAAATCTTTATTTTTAAAAAGTAAATATATTATCCAGCGAAAAACGAATCATCGAATTGATGTCGAATCCGCTCCTCTTCTCTCCAGTAGGATCATAAATTTAAAATCTTCAAGGGTTTGGATTAGAATTCTAATATCGATATTAATGGCTCAGAATGTTGTCAGCCTTTTTTTATGACAAAAATATTCATGAAGTGGAGCCGTCCATTCTCTTCTACGTTCATGGTAAACCAAATACTGGGATGTTGATTGTTGAAAAGGTTTAGGTATTTATGTTATACTTCTACCATGAACAAGAATAGAAATAACTCGTTATATATACTGGTAATGAAGTTATAATTACAAGTTACTTTTTTTTGGTAACTTATTGATAACTGCGTTACTATTCTTTTTTAGTAACTGTAATGGTAATGTAATTACATTATTTTGGTAATAGTAATGCATTTTATAGATACTTTTACGGTTATTTTTTGTATTTTGAACCTATATATTTATGACATAATTTTCATTTATTCAATTTGCAGTTTTTAGATAGTATTCATATGTTCTGATTTCAAGACCGTTTTAATCTTAAGATGTTAAAACGTCTGTGTGATTATTTAGTATTTTTACAAAATTTTTCAGAATTTTTTATCAACTTTTTAGCACAGTATTTTCTCATTTTTACCAACATGAGAAAATACGGTATTAAAAAATTGTGAAAAAATTCTTAGAATTCTATGAGAAGAAAATAAACAATTTTTTTCTCTTGCAGTTTTTCTGTAAAGTTGATAAAGTAAAGAAGATAAAGTTGATTTGAATAAAAAATTATTGAAGACAATTTTCGCAATTTTTAGCAATTAATATCTTGTTAATTATTACGAAAATTGCAAAATGGTAGAAGACTTTTCTTCTCAGTTTAGTCCATTCTGTCCCTGTGCGAAAGACTTATCACTAATTTCCAAACATCCTGTATACATAAAATTCTTTAAACTGCGCACCAATTAAATTTTCTGTCTTAAAATACAATCCTAATTAAAACTGGAAGCAATATAACAAATTAAATTTACAGGTAATTTAATCACACACACTACACCACGCGCGCGCGGTGGTACAAATGAGCCTAGGAGCGCGTCGATCTTGAGCGCTTCATAGAATAGAGCGCTAATTCATTAACTTCAACCTACTCTCCTGCAAAAACAATCGGACGCAATTTTGCTAAAAGAAAAAGTTGTTTTTTTTTTAGCATAAAGTATTATGTCTTGTACTCCGCGAATGCGAATTTATGGACACACTGTATATTGTATAACGTTTTTGACACAAGGATCGTCGGACCTGATCAGAATAACGTGACATTTACCTCTTAGATCTTCTCGCCTCGGGAGAACGAACATATCTGCACTTATCGAGATTTTGAGCAACTATTTTTGTTAATTTCCGCATATTATTGTCGTTTGCGAGTTCTCTCTGGGATAATTGGCGGTTTCTAAGTACGGTTAACTAGAGTGACCAAATTGTCGAGACTTGCAGATCAATATAAATTTCCGAATTCACTGAACGGAATAAAAAATTCTTTCACAGGATTAAAGTAGTAACGCAAAAATTTGATTTTTTGATGCTACAGTGAACTTTATATTAAAATAAAAAAAAAGTTAGAAACTTACATTTTTTTCAACTTATGAGAGCATTTGATGTAGATTTTTAATACAAAAGTATTTTTTTAATACAAAAGTTTTATAGCTCCTATGGATAAAACAATAAATTAACACCCAGCGCTTTACGTGCACAAACAATACTGAGTTTATGAAACTAAAATTAAAAGCTTAAAGAGAAAAATTTATATCGATCTGCAAATGATGTATATACGAACGCTAAGCGAAGACTCGAAATAGTAAACAAAGCAATAATTGTCTAGTAGTTGATATTCGATCTTGCAAGAAATGGCGTTGCAATATATTAGATAAGACCAGATGTATGCAT